AGAAGTACCTGATGAGGAGATAATATATGATGAAGAACAGCCTCAAACTACTACTGTTAGTAGATTCACAACAACAAGAAGACCTCTGTTTAAGCCGCGAGTAATCAACTCAAATACATTTAGAACATCAACAACCACAACTGAGTTACCAAGACGTTTGTTTGGCAATAGCCAAAATAAAACTATTTCATATAACAGGTTTGGATCCATCAAGCCTGTAAACGATGTCAAAAAACGCGTACAAAATGTTCCCATAGGTTACAATACGCCAAAAGCGGGACAAAATACACTTTTAAAAAATAATACGATAAACACGAATGCAACCAAAATTGAAGAAGAAAAAATTACAACTTCAAGTTTGTATGACAGTAATGATGACATTACTACTACAGATCACGATGAATATTTATCCATAACTGAAAACACCACTTCTTATCGTGAGAATACTAATTCATCCAATGATAACGCTACTACGAACATTGTTGAAATTGAAACTGTAACGATACCAGAAGATAACACCACTTATACAGATGAATATTCATACAACACGGAAAAATCTGGTGTATATGCAAGCACAGAATATGTTCCCTCAGATGTACAAACTGAAGCTATAACCTTAAGCTCCCCGGAAGCACAGGTTACAACACTAGCAACAGTAAAACATAATGATACAGTTACTGAAAGTCTACCTGAAACCACTACTATAACACCGACAATGTCACCGATTATTAAAACTCAATACAATAAATTATTTTCTATAAGTAGGGTCGTTGAAGTGTCATCTAAACAGGATAAACATCATTTGAACAAAAATAATGAAACTACTCTTATCGAAGAAGGGCCTATCGTAATTGAAAAGAAACCCTCTGTCGATAAAATTGGCGAAGTGAGTCGTTTCAGTTTTATCAAAATAGTAGAAGATGACATTCCTATTTATTTAACTAAACTTGGACATGTATATCCTGTAGATAATCTCCCAAATAACCCCATACGAATCGATGAAGGAAGAAACGCTAGAGCCTTATTAAACTATAATTACTATCCTAAAGAAAACATTGTTGCTTCTGAGAGTATGAATGAAGCCTATAGACATGTCAATAAAGTTACAAGCCCACGTAAAGAAAGCATGCTTAAACGTGAAGTAGAACATATACCAGACGATGACTTTTTAAGTTATATTAATGAAGATAAGAATACTGAAAAGGCAGAAGAACAGTATCCGCAGTGGCAATTCGTACCAGCTGCTTATGAAGACGAGCAAAACAAAAAAGCGAAAAATTTTGAAATAGTATCACCACACATTGTACAAAGTAATCCATCTATACTGCCTTTAGAAGCATTATTTAACAGTGAAACTTCCGTTACAATTCAAAAAGGAAATGAAGATAAAAATCATCCTTTTTATATATACTCAGCTACTATGCCAACCAAAACAGAAGATATAAATACACAAAAAACAGAAATTCTTAAGCTTGAAAATCCCAGTAAACTAGAATCAAAAGAGCTTAAATCAATATTTGATCAGACCATGACAACAAACACAATGAATAAATCAGTAATATTGGGAACAACTGAAAAATATTCTTCCATAATTGAAACAAGTGAAAAAATAACTACAAGTCATATTATAGAGCTTTTAAATAAAAAACCAGCCGTTTTAACAACGAATGACACAACTACTACTATAACATCTGAATCGCCAATAACAACAGAATTGGAACCAGCAGAGTCAAGTACAGTGAAAATATTTCCACAAGATACTAAGAGACTAAATTTTCCGTTTGTAAGAAAACCAATTATTAAGCCGTCCAATTTAACCAGATTGTTGACACTACCGAGAACAGTGAAAAAAGTCAATCCCAGTATCAAATCAAATTCTATTCAGAAAACGAGTATAACATCTACATTTACTCCGGGTAAATCTAGATTCTCCTCCAATAGAGTGCAAAATGTTCCAGTAGACATAAAAAACAAAGCTAACAATGGTAAATTTATATCTAAAACTTTTACTACTGAAACTCCAAAATCAACCATTGAAAATAAAACATTTACACAGCCAAAGAGGCCAACTTTCCGGCCAGCTTTTGTACCAAGAAAAAGTACAACAAAACCCACAACATCCAGTGGAGACTTTTTGTAATTTAAAATACAAAGTTTACTCTACTACTTGCTATTGAGTCCATTTCTCTGGCAGTTTTGACTCGGTTAGTTTAATACTTCTAATTTGTTGTTTAATTCCATGGCCTCTCTTCCAGTCCGACAGCGATTTAGTGTCAGATATCACAGTAATTTTGTTTTATTTTAATGACGGGGATTGCTTGTACATATAGAAATATCTCTAAAGTTTCTTCATAGTCATATTTTATAAAATTTTATAGCTTTAACGTAGGTTTAAATATTTTATGAGAAAGTTTGTTCGTACCAAAAATGTATATTATTCATGTTAGTTTATTTGGCGAACAAAAGCTTTCGGAATCGAAATGTTACTGGTTACAACTAGATTAATTATTTAAAATATATTATAACTGCCACTAACTTAGTAACCATAATCGTTACCAATAATGCATTAATGTAAATATGTGCGAAATGATATTAGGGCATATTGTGTGTAATGGATAAATTTGTATTGTAATGTAAAGCAAATAAAGGATTACAATAAATTGGTAGTGAAAATAATTTTATTATTTCTACTTAATATTTATAACTACTAAATACTAAATATTTTGAACGAGTTGACTTGATTTGTCGTAAGCTCAAAACTGTGTATCTTGTTCCTCTTTCTGTGTAATAACTTGAAGATCTAAGCTGTTGAAGAAATAAGGTAAGTAACTTTACTTTTACTTTGTAACTTAACATTTACTTTCGCCTTACCTCATTTTATCAAAATTATCTTTTTTGTTTTGAGAAATCATTTATACGGGGTGGTGATAAAGTTATCACATTAAATGAAAAGCCTTACCCTATGTAACGTTCTTTGAACATACACAACTAAAAAAATATATACAACAATTAACATTCTAGTCGTAATAGCCCTTTTTTTCGTTTTTTGCCTTATTACTTATGAACGGTAAATGTCTTACTTATGTAGGTAAATAATTACCTATGTCGCGTGAGCACTGCGCACCTACCGCACCGTTGCCGATTTTACATGTCACTTCTGGTCAGTAAACTAATACTACCAAGGTGATTTATTTCGTGTCAATTTTTACGCTATTCATTTTGTTTGAAAGGTGCATTTTTTATTTTTGGTAGAATTGTTTATTTTATTATTTTAATCGACATGTATGAACTTGTATATACCGCTGTGTTATATAATGTGATAACCTAATCGCCACCCAGTATAACCTTGACTTAATTTAACTTAATTTATAAAAAGTCTAAATTTGTTATTGCGTGTTAAGCTTCGAATTGACTTATTATTACATCTTTTTACTTAACCTTAGTTTTCAAATAAAATTTTCTTACATTATTAAAATTTTGGGAAACGTCGTAGGGTTTTTAAGCCAAACTTTTCAACCAACCAATCTATTGTCTCGTTTCTTATCGACTGCAACGCACAATAGATGTATGTTTTGTAATATCAATCAATTAACAGATTTTTCAATGGTGTATTCAATCATTGTGAAGTTTGTAACAATCCTTACCACTTGAAATTTTACAATGCTCATTATAGTGTATTGTTTATTGCGCTGATTATAAATTAACACAGATATTTTATTCTAGGATTGTTACATACATACATACATAATTAATGGCGGTGTAGTACTAAAAAGTATTTTAATAGGCATAGATAAAATATTTCTAAATAGTTATTCATTAACGTATCTATCTACTACAATGACCCTTTACCAACAATCGCTATCTTTATAATTATAACTTTTCACAAAAAGTAAAAACCGACTTCAAATTGCTGAATAAGAAAGTTAATTATTTGCAGCCGTTAGAGGTGGAATTTTTCCAAATTTATATGAGACCACCCTTGAAGTATAATCTTTTTAATAAAAATAGAATGGTAAAAATTTGTTCACAATCTGCGAAGATATCGCGTAACATACGTATAAAAAAAACATACACTCGAATTGGAACCTCCTCCTTTTTGAAGTCGGTTAAAAATTGATGCATAAAGATGTTATGCCTAGTTTATATTTAAGGCCGGTCACATACATACGGAATTCCGTTTCAAGATACCGTATCGGAATTCCGATTCGGGATTCCGTGAATGCATCACACACATACGTTTATATCCGTTCGGAATAACAAGGGTCAGTTGAGAGACGTTAGCCATTGAGTCTAGACATTCCGCCAGCGAATAATGACGACGATTTTCTGATTGCGATTCCATTGTTGATGTATCATTCTTACTAGGGCCATCCCCTTATTTTTTTTTAAACCCTTATCACCCTAAGCTTGCAATAAAGTCAATATTATGTAAAAAGATCTATCTATCCAGAGATATTCTTTAAATATGGATCTCTGTAAGCTCTATCGATGAACTATTAAATGAAATAAGATGAAAGGTTACGAAAACCTATACACATATAAGATTAAATGTAAAAACATACATAAACACACCTACTCGCTTCGGTCGTGCGACGAACACTGAGCAGGTTCCATACGGAATTTACGAATGTGTGTTGCGACTCATACAAAATCTATGGAAGACTTGCGTTCGGAGCGGCTTTTCTCCGTTCGGTATTCCGAACGCACAGGCGATCATACGGAATCTCGAATCGGAGAAAATTTCGTACGGAGAATTACCGTACGTGTGTGTCGGGTCATAGATTTTATATGGACGTTCTGCATTCGGAATTCCGAATCGGAATATCGAAACGTAATCCCGAAACGGAATTCCGTATGTATGTGGCCGGCCTAAATCATAGTAATTAGTAGTAACTAGTGCAAAACTGGAGAAATAATAGTGGGAATTATATTTCGTAACAAAATAATTTGAACGTTACGCATATCACATAGTTACTCACCGTGTTATTAGTTAATTTACTATGTGTAACATAGCTATTAAAGCGTTTAATCGAATAGTTAAATTCAGCAATGACCTACAAGAATATCCGCCTTATATGGTCAGTTGTATTCGTGATATGCAGTTTAAATAATGCTAATTCCCCTTCTCTTTGCCGTTCTAAGCCGTTAGGTCCCATTCGCGTCACCAAATTTACAATATCAATGACTGACGTATGCTAATTTTCATTTAAATAGCCTTGCAATGTTGTAATAGGTATCTATGGCTAGGCCATCTCAGTGAGAAGTGGCAGACACAGGTACACTGTGAACGTAATTAGTAGATAAAGTGTGAGGAAGCAAAAACTCATATTCTTAAAAAGAAGGCTTTGATTGGATGTTGAGTATTCATTATATGAAGGGAATAAAATTCAATTTATAATTTGCTACATCTATTTTCATTATAAATTAAGTTGTGACATTTAGCTAAACACTTAAAATGTATGATGAGAAAATGTGGTCGTGTATATCATTGTTTCACGGGAACAGCCTATGATTATTATTTTTTTAATAAATTAAACGCATTATATTAAAAAATGTAAATCAAACATTTAGCAGAGATCTTTTAGTTTTCCAAGCAACCATTTTACATGTAGTAGAGCTACGTTGCATCTGTATTATGGATCACGCTCTCGCAGAATGCCAGGTTGAAATAACGTGCTGCTTTGTTTCGTATACTGAAGATAGAGAAACTGAGACCCTTTTTACAGAAAACGAGGCATTCCATCTTAGTCCTCTAAGGAGACAATGCATATTTCATCGCTTAAACTACTTACTTACTCAAACTATTTTTTAATAAAGCTGATAAGGTTAAAGGATAGTTGAATGACTATGATTTCCGAACCATTAAGGACATGTTGTTCACACTAAATGCCGCGATTAGTAATCTAATACACTATAATTATTTAATTGACCTAAAGTGATATCATTTAACAGCCAGAAGTTGTAGACTCTTTTTAACGTCAATTATAATTACAATCTGTCGCATTTAAAGGAAATCCGATAAATTTTATGACTCTTATGAAAAGGTCTTGCAATGTATGTGGCCATTAACACATTATTATACAATCTAGTTTAGGTAAATAGAAGGTCTTGAGCTAATTCATCCATTCATTCACTCTTTACAGCCTTTCGAAAGTCAAACGGCTGAGGGCTAATAACCTTACTATCACCAGATATCGCTAATTGCTACTGTGTTAAAGTTATTTTTTTTTTGGAGTTTATGGCCTAGTATCTAGACCTTTAGGCCAAGTCTTAAGTATTTTTATTCGGTTTTTTGTAATTTCCCCACTCCTTCATAGTATACTGCTTCACAATATGTTGATGCGTCACATTGTGCAGTTCTTGGGAGATTTTGGCGGCAACTTGATCCAGCAGACAGCTGATAGTTGGCGATGGTATCTAAAGGTGCCTATGCAAACAAACAGCTTATCTTGAGAATCCATCACCATCAGAGCACTTGTTTCACTGTTTCCACTAATAGTTCACATGCGTAGACACTTAATACACAAAATCGCAACACTTTTACATATCAAAGTCCACTTCAAACCATTATTTAAACAATAATACAGGAGCAGCAAACCGCCGCCGGTCAATTTCCCGCCAAAACCTGTGTTAAAGTTATTTGTTACACAGTGTTTTCATATGTGAAAAAATTCATTTTAAATAAAAGATTTTTGTCCATGAGTGTATGTATGTATAATATAATAATTATATATTCAAAACAATGTCTCGGTGCTTGCTCGTACATTTTTGCACTTTTTTCGCTCTCTTTTTATTTTATTTTTTTTTACTTTTATAAATGTCAGTAGTTTGGTTTATCTATTATAATTCTAATTAATATCTTATTTTAAATATAATTAATCTTTCAGAAAGAAACAGTAACCCGTAAATATCCCTAATACATAATCAATTTATTGGACTTTTCTTATCAAATTTATTTATTTACATTGTTAAAACATAGTATAAAATTAAATCTGAATTTTGTTTACACACAACGTTGAAAAATTCGTTTTTAATTTTGTCTTATAATTTAAATTCCCCGCCATTAAATCTGTCAAATATTTCACCTCATTCACACATCTTGGTGGTAGAAAAAGTCATAGAAGTTCTCATTGATTGCCTCATCCTTTGAGGAAATCCATTACGGACGCCATTGTTGTCATACATGGCAGACGGATTGGCAACAGCAGTTTTTATTATTTTTAGTTGATGTAAGAAAGATGCTGCTGCCCGTCTCTTGTTTCAGTTTTTCTCTGTCATTTCTAACGACACGCACGGGATATGTGGCCTATTCTCTATGCCCGCCATTTTACGACGTAATTTTTATTTCAATCTTCTATTATATTATATAGCTAATTCATTACAACGTTAGCATAATTTGTTTTTGTATTACTAGAATTTTTCGGATAGTTTAATTTACGATATATCATAACATATTAGTAATTCTACATTATAATGAAATCGAATACCTTATATAGTAAAAACGTGTTTGAAACTCTGTCCCAACTGAACTCCATATTATTCCATATAGAAGTGATGATACATTCATATAGCATTATAAGAAATAATACAATGTCTTCTTTTGTACAAAGTAATCCTCGCAAGTAACACACCAACACAATCCGATTGTAATTTAATAACCTGTTTGCAAGAATGTGTTTACACATTACATACATTGGTTTCAACCATGTTTAATGCCCTCAACTACGCCCTAACATATTCTTACGTTAAATTAAACACATACATTTGCTATATAAACAGATATATCATTTATAGAAATAAGGAACAATTGAATCGTAGCGTTTAAACCTAAAACAAATTATTATGACAAACATATTTTCTACGAATACTTATAGTTATACGCTATTAAAAATAAAGTTACAATCTATATATGTATGTCCCACGGCTGTACAAAGGACTCCTTGTATTTTTGAGAGAGTTATGGAGTATTATTTCAGCGCCGTACTCTTTCACACATCAGAATTTTATGCCTTAGGCATGCAGGTTCGTTTTCACAATGTTGTCCTTACCGCCGGACGCGTGGTATATCAGCACTTTTTAACAATTTACAAGCGGCCAACGGGGAACAGACCCCGGTTGCTCACGAATTGGGAAATTTACTGCAAACGCTTATTTTAAAAAAAATATTATGAAATTCAGAACATTAAAAAGCCATTACATAAAACAGAAAAACTAATTTTTATATAAATTAAAACCACATCCTCCTCTTATGTAGTTAAGTTGCTGACACTGACTGTTGCATCATTTATTAGGTTTTTTTTAATAGGATAAGGGTGACAAACGAGCACACAGTCTACCTGATGGTAAGTGGTTGCTGCGGCTCATAGACATCTACATCTATCCTCTATTACAAATCAAAATGTAGATGCGTTGTCACCCGTGAGGAATAAGATGGAATGCCTCATTTCCAGTAAAAAGGGCCTCCGGCCACCTGCACTCACCAAGCGAAACGCAGAGGTAAACCTCTACTTCACGCTGGTTTTCTGTGAGGTCGTGGTACCACCCCGGTTCGAGCCGGCCCATCCGTGCGACAGCAAAAGCTACCGCGTGGCTCTACCACTGTTACCATTTATGCAGTGATAATCAAAGTTATTTATGATGATGATGCACTAATCTTTAGTGCCTGGACGACCGAGCTTTAGAGAGATTTTTTTATAGAATAAGGGTGACAAACGAGCACATAGTCCACCTGATGGTAAATGGATGCTGTGACCCATAGAAATCTACATTTATCCTCAATTAAGAATCAAAATACAGATGACTTGTCACCCCCGAGGACTAAGAAAGAAATGCCTCGTTTCCAGTAAAAAGGATCTTCGGTTCTCTGTACTCACCGTACGGCAGACAGCAGCATGAAGCTTCTACTTTGGTGGATAATATATAAGTTCACTGTAAAAATGTATCATTGGATAACTTTTTGTGCTTTTATACATAATAGTCTATCTGAGACTCTATCAGATCCTGTTTACTGGTAATGATGCATTCTCTTTTAGTTCTCAGAGGTGGCAACGTATCAACATTTATATTCCTAATCGAGTATAGATTTAGGTGTCGATGTGCCACAGCATATACTTACCATCAGGTGGACTGTGTGCTCGTTTGTCACCCTTAAAACATTCTCAGGTAGATTTAGAAATTTAATTATTTAAAAAAAAATTATTTGATGCGTTTTATTGCAATTGTAACTATAATGTTGTAACTAGAATAGTGAGTGAACGAGAGTTTGCTGTCTGAAATCCTTAAACATCGAAGTTTCATTCTAAATAAATATATCTTTCATTTCTAAACTATCTGAAAAAAGAAACTGGTTTTAAAAATAATAAAATGTAATTCTATAATAAAATATATAAAATTAAATTCGAATAATATGTAAATTTTAATTCTTTATTTTAAATACGTTTATAAATTAGCCTCAAATGACATAATCAGCATTTTTTTTTATTTATTGCACGAATATATTATATAACATGCGGTGTTTGCTCACTCAACCATAAATGTTGATCACTAAACATTTTAAAAGCTCCAAACATTTTTATTACTCTGTAAATAGTCAATTGAAATGTGTGTCCTTATGTAATGGATTCTTTAACCAATACGGTTTAAAAGTAAATATGCCATGAACGTATCGCTTTAAATCTATAATCAAGTTGGACAGACACCTAAATATGTTATCGATTACCATTTTTTGATTACTTGTCACCTGCGCATAACTACATAGAGATGTATTTTTAAGGAGCAGTGATAATAAGGACGCTCACCAGATGTCGCTAGTTCGGACTGTGGTAAAGTTATTTGTTATACAGTGTCGTCATATGTGAAAAATTCCAATTCAAATAAAAGTTTTTCGGTTTCTAGTGTATGTAGATTCACAAAGCAATGCCTAAGTTGCAATAAAAGTTTTGAAAGCCCTCACTGCATTGGTTCTGGAGCAACGCGACGTATTAATCACTCCACAACCCTCTCAGAAAAGAGCGGAGGCCTGTGTGCAACAGTAGGACGTGTGTAGGCTGTATTACTTTTCTGCTAGTAATTGAAACTT